GTACAATTTGGTCCTTGACTTTTGACCTTCATTTCAGTTAGGCCCTTTATACATTGCACTTCAAGTCCTTCAACTTTCAGACTTTTGCATTTCAGTCCCCAACTTCAGCTTTTTATCCATTTTTAGTCCTTTTTCTTCCTTTTTCGTCTCGTTCTTCTTCTAATCGGGGTTTTAGCCTACAAAAGTGAAAATTACACAATTATGAATAGAAATATACTCGATATCAATTCTAATTAATTCCAGAAAAGTGCCGAATAAGTGTGTTTTTACACACGTATCACTTGTTATGATCTTACTCGTCGGAGAGCTGTCGTGTGGTCAGAGAAGATGGCACCTTTTTGGACAAGAGCATGGTGAGCCAGGAAGTGACTATTGATGAATATTAACCTAATACGAAGGCCAATTCTAATGTCGATTGATGTGTACCATTTTTTGTACAACCTGATCACCCGCGACCTCATGCTTGAGGTCAAGATAACCTCAAGCACACTCCTTAGGCTAGAACATCATCGAGTTTTTGTGGTTGGGCTCAAGATTATAATTGCCTCGAGTCTTCCCCTTGGGCCAAAACATTCTTGAGCTCGTGTGGTTGGGCTCGACCTCGGGCTTGAAGTCCTTGGACATCTAGTGACCTTTTAATATCATTTTTCATATCTTTCTATCAGGTCCCCTAACCTAAAAGGACTCAACCTTTGTAATTTTATTGTCACCAAACTATGATTGATCTTACAATTATAGTAGAACTTCAATGTCCACCTTATGTAGGACTCCTAAATAAGATAAGACATCCAAGTGACCCAATTTTATTAGGATTTCACTGCTTATCTTTATAAATACAATGCATTTGTTCATTATCTAGGTATACTTTTATATATAATTTCAGTATATAGGTTTTTGCATATTCTCTTCTCTCTAACTTAAGCATCGGGAGGGCGATAAGCACACACCCCATCGCTTTTTTGTTTCAAGTATTGGAGATCCTCGTTCGTGCCGTCAACAGTCGTAAAGCTCGGGTTTTTACAGGTGCAAACTTTGGTAACATCATTGGCGTTGTCTATAGGAATTACTACCAAAAGCCATGATTAACACACGTTTATGACACCTCATAGTAAACTCACCCGCTCTTAATCAAACCCCCCACTGAAGATCCTCCGGTGTCGCTAAAAGAATCATCAAGGTATCAACACCCCAACCAGTAGTTGTCGCTTCCAAAGCATTTGAAAAGCTTCACCAACAAATTGTCATGCTAACTCAATAGCTAAGTTAAAGAAATCTGCATCCAGCGCGCACCCTAAGATGGCTTTATGGTCGCTGCTCGAGCTCAAGCTTTTCGCCCCGTTTCTGATATTGGCGGTGCTAAAACCTCGGGCATACCTCCTCAAGGTCAGTTACCATGGACTCAAACAAACTTATAAGAATCATCTAAGATGGGATTATTACAAGTCTACTTCAGAATACCCAGGAGTCAACAGGTTCAACCCTAACACTCCATTGATTCTAGAGATTTTGTCATATCTTCTACCAAACAGATTTAAACTCTCCTGAATAAAGAAATACGATGGAACCACTGACCCAATCAACTACCTTAATGTGTACACAAACGTCATGAACTAACAAGTTACACCAGACCCGGTTATGTGGAAAGCTTTACCACAAACCCTAACTAACACTACTAGGGATGGGTTCTCTACCCTAAAGCCCAATTTCATTGCCTCATTCTCAAATTTTGCCAACAAGTTCTCTACATTCTTTGCAAGTAGTAAACGCATCAAGAAGACTGTCGTATCCTTTATGCAGCTTTTCCAATGGCAAAATGAATCCCTACGTGATTTCATGACGCAATTTAATGCAGAAAGGCTCTAAATACCCAACCTATACATTACAGCCACCATCTTAGCCCTCATCTATGTCGTAAGATGTGAATTATTTAAAATGTCCTTGTTAAAATGAATCCCTACGTGATTTCATGACGCAGTTTAATGCAGATAAGCTCCAAATACCCGACCGATACATTACAGCCACCATCTTAGCCCGCATGTATGTCGTAAGATGTGAATTATTTAAAATGTCCTTGTTAAAACCCTACCAAAGTTCGTGACTGAGCTACTTACCCGAGGTGAAAAATATATCAATATGGAGGAAACTATGTATCCAATGAGGGTTAGCCCGACCTCTAACAAACCCGAACACAAGAGGCAGCATGAGTCCAATACGTGACAAGATAGTGCTCACGCTAAATTGAAGCAGGAAGCACAACCAACGTCATTTACACATCTGAGCACCTCCATGTCTGACATTCTGATGGAGATCAAGGACCTTAAGGAACTTAAGTGGCCCTCGAGGATACAGTCCCTTCCTAACACCAAAGATAAAAGCAAGCATTGTGAATTTTATCGGGACCATGGGTGTACCGCAGAAACATACAAAGCCTTGCAACGCAAGATTGAGTCTCTGATCAAGAGGGGACTCCTAAGAGTTTATGTCGGTCAAACAGGAATCTGAGGAATGCTCATAACAAGAAGAATACCTTAGAGGCCAGGGAGAGTAATCGACCAACAACAGACACGATCAATGCCATTGTTTAGTTGGTCAATGTCATAAATCTAAAGTATGAGTCTTTTTTTTTTTTTGGGCTTTTATGCCCCACTTATTTTTATTATTTGATTGGTCAGGCATGCGCTCCAATATTTAATTTCTAGCTAAGTCAAGTACGTTCAATAAAGTGGTCGTCGGGATCTTATCCCAATAAAGTCATTTTTTTCAATTTGTAATGTTGCTAAAATCTTGACCTCCGCAAGCACATAAAGCCTTCCTCTCGCAAACACATCAAACCTTGTCCCAAGCAAGCACATAGAAGTCTCGTTTTGTGCGATCACATAAAGCCTTGTCTCGAACAAGTACCTGAAGTTTTGCCCCGAGCAAGTATCTCAAGCATTGCCATGTACAAGTACCTAAAATCCCGTGGAAGCACCTCAAGCCTTGTCCTGCGCAAACACCTAAAAGTCTTTCCCCGAAAAAGCACCTCAAGCCTTATCCCGTACAAACACCTCAAACCTTGCCCTGCGCGAGCACCTAAAAGTCTTGTCCCGTACAAACACCTAAAATTCTTGTCTCGTGCAAGCATCTAAAAGCCTTGTCCCGTGCAAGTATCTAAAAATTTCTTCCCGTGCAAACACCTCAGACATATTTTACAATGCGCACCATTTTTATGCGACCTGACCACCCATGACCTCATGCTCGAGGTCATGATAACAACGAGCACTCTCCTTGGGCCAAAACATCATCGAGTTCTTGTGGTCGGGCTCGACCTCAGGCTCGAGGTCATAATGGCCTCGTGCCCTCTCCTTAGGCCAGAACATCCTTAAGCTCGTGTGGTTGGGCTCGATCTCAAGCTTGAAGCCCTTAGCCTTCTCATGCCACTTACTATCCTTTCTCCTCTTTTTCTATCAGGTTCCCTAACTTAAAAGGATTCTACTTCTGTAATTCTATTGTCATCAAACTATAATTGATCTTACAATTATAGTAGAACTCCAATGTCCACCTTATATAGGACTCTTCAATAAGACAAGACTTCCAAGTAACCAAATTTTACTAGGATTGCACTGCCCATCTCTATAAATACAAGGCCTTTGTTCATTATCAATGTATACTTTTACGTATAATTTCAGCATATAGCTTTTCGCATATTTTCTTGCTAACTTAAACAATCGCCTCGTTGCCTTTGTTTCAGGTATTGGAGATCCCGTTTGTGAAGTCCACAGTCATCAATCTCGAGGTATTCACAGGTGTGAACTTTGGTAGCATTAGTGATGAAGGGGCCGTACTTGGCCTCCAGCTCGTGGAGGATGAATTCCAGTTGAGAAAGAGACAAGTGTAGCCATATAAAGTTCTCGATCAAACGGAACTCATACTGATCCCGACAGAGGGTTCTTATGATTCTTATTGTCGGCGTCTATGATTGAGGAAAAGAGGGATTTGAGAATTGGAGGGATGCATAATAGGGAGATGATGAAGATAAACCAGGAGTTTATTGCTACTTTCTTTGGCAGTTTGGGCGTCGAAGTAGGTAAGTTTAAGAAATTATAAGTAATTTTAAAATGGATAAATCCTTGTTTGAATAGTATTCTCTACGAGCTCTTTTTTTTTCTTTTTTTTTTTTCAAATTCTGTTTTAACGGTAAATTTTTTTAGTAAAATAATTTTATACATAAATATAAAAAAAATTATACTTTGTAACTACGTATTCTCAAATAACTACTATTACAAAACTTATTTCATAAAAAAATAGAGCTCTAACTGAGCCTCAATTGAACGTACTCCAACATTGAGGTTAATTGTACATTTTTCTCTATCATGATCTCAATCTTCAAAAAATTAGTGGCACTGCAACCAAACCTGTACACTTCACCAGCGTAAAAATGATTTATAAGACATTCTTAGAATGAAATTGAAATTTTCGACATCTTGGTGAAGTTTGACTTCAAAAGAAAGTTGATGTAAAATAAACATATTATAAGGAGTCGATGTTCAATAATTTTGTTGCTTAAGAGAAAATTTGTACCTGCAATTCAGTGGGATTCTTATTGAACAAATTATAATAAACTATAGATGGTTTTGATCATGTACATACTCTACAGACCCTTTTTCTAATGGCATTCGACAAAAAGCCATATCCTGCCGCATCAAACCGGTGAAGATTTTATAGCTTTGAATCTTCAGCCTTTATAATACTTCTATTATCCAATTACTCTCTCCTATAATCTTCAATTTTCTTCATATAGTGCTGCGTGGCCTGCGCCATGAATGGCCTCTAACCTATCCACTTTTTCAACAAAAAATAAAAAAACATGGTATTAAAATTTGGGGTTTCATCTTAAAAAGTTAATCATGTTAAGAGAAGTAGTCCAATCATTTGTAAGTTGGTCTATATTCGGTAATAAGCCGATATGAGATTTATCCATTAACATACCCCCACAAGATGGTGGCTCTTTTGAGCAAACTAACCTTGAAATCTATGTGTTCATTTTTTAGTCTTAATCAGATCGAATTTTTCGTTGAAACTTAATGGATTCTAATACTATATTAAAACTTGAGGTTTCATATTAAAAGGTCGGCTTTCTTAAGAGGAGTAGTTTAATCATTTATAAATTGGTCTATATTTCGGTATTTAACCGATGTGTGATTTATGTCTTAGCACATAGTTGCCTCCTAACTAAATGCTCACGGGAGTAGAATCAATAATCTTAATGATGCGATCTTGCTTTGATTACTTGTTCCTTTTGACATACATATATTTGTTGCTAGATCAAGATTACTTGTTCCTTTTGACATACATATATTTGTTGCTGGATTGATCTGTGCTTGGTAATACTATTCAACACCATTAGTGTCAAGTATCAGTTTAGGTAACAATTGTATGGTATTAAATGATAGATTCACCAAAATGCAATATCACATTATTCATTTATGGTGTGTTTGAACCACATTATTTTGGAAAAATGTATTCTGGAATAGTAGATTGGTGGAGAATTTGTGGTTGAAAAAGAAGGAAAAGTTATTGATGTGATGAAAAATATTCTTTTATTGAAGAATGTGGTTGAAAATGAGTAGAAGAATGAGAATAAAAATTTTAATGTGTACCAAACAGGAGCTTAATTGAACATCAAATGTAAACACCTAAATTGATATTCTAACACCATTGGTGCTGATAGAATTATTCATCTGTGCCGCAGTATCAATAACTGCTTGTTTATTGTTATGCATTGAGTTCTCAAAGCAGCAGGGTCTTTAGGCTTTTTAGAACCTTGGCACTGTTGGGTCATTAAGATCGACTTTTGTCTCTTCTCAACAGGTAAGACATTCACATAATCGATGTCATTTCTAGTTTCTTTCTATTCATCTTTTATTAAAAAATCATTTGAGCAATGCATGATGCTCCTGCACAAGTTATCGCAATATTTCCATACATCTAGATTTTGTTTTAGTGCATGAGATTTCAAATTCATATGGCCCTGGTTCAATTCTTTCATGATGATTTCATTATTCATATATTACAAATAATAACAAAATGCCATTACCAAAACCCACATCAAAGTTCCATAGATTTTTGGAGAAAGTGGAGTTTATTTAGGCTCTAGATGACTGACTGGGCAAACTGCTAATTTTGGGAATTATTAAGCAACACGTTCAGTTTCCAACAAGCAGGAGTCTACATCACCAAATTCGTTTCCATAAATCCCAACAAGAAAACACGAAAAAAAAAAGGGTGATTCTACATTCATACAACACAGTTCAGAAAACCCAGTTTAGAGACGAAGCTTATCTACTTCTAGCTTGGGGAAAGAAAATGTGCCCGAGCTAGATTGTATTCTTTCCCAGCAATCCAAACCCCGGTTTGAGACCATAAAATGTCCTCCCACTCTATATTCTCCTCCAAAACCTGTCCACAACACCGCACAGGAAAAAAATATTAATCAGCAAAGAAAAAAGAAACATACAGTAAAATCAAGTAGTTTACCCGAAATGAACAAGAAAACAATATTAAGATTCTCTTTTGTTTCCTGATGTTTGTCGGTTTGTCTTCTAAATAGTTCAATGCAATGAGTTCACCTTTGGATCCATATAGCTAAAATAGCAATCGTAAATAAACATGGAAAAACGTGTCAAAGGCGAGTTGATTATAATGCAAATTGAGAAATCGAGTCCCTAAGTCATCGAGTGACAGACATCCCGGATATACTAACTCCAGGTTTTTGTGCGCCAAACAATTTTTAAGCAATACATAGAAACAAAGCTAAAACACTCTATAGTGTCTCGCAAGACCTAAGAAGACATAGGTTTAACTAGTTTCATCATCAATAGGAAAACATTTTCAAATCAAACACAATTCACTGTGACATTTCCAATGTTCTTATGGTCATGCTCGCCAAAGCTCTCATTCATATTTTCCTAACAATTTGAGGGCACAGTAAACTTAAATTCTTTTGGTTGTTTTGCATTTGGCTTCAATCCAAAACAAAGCAAGGGAAAAAGAGCAGTCAAAAATGTAAAGTTATATCATATCCAAATAAGAAACCACCAGGGAAGGATTACCTCCACATGTTCAAGGGGGAGTGGGATTCCAATGGAGAGCATGAATTTTTGTGGAAGGGGTCTCTTACAACGAGCCCATCGAAATATATCCACAGTGCTTTCACCATCCACCACACTTCTTTCACCATTGCTAAGATGCGAGCTGGAATGAGTTCTCCCATTCTCTGCTCCAAGTGCTTGAGACGCTGCTGCAGCCTTCACCATCTTTTCTCCATTGAAGCAAAGCTCATACCTTAAGTTAATAACTTTAGTAAGTACCAATAAGTAAAAGATACATACGGCAAATAGTTGATGATTTTTCATGTCGTTGGTCCTACCAGTTACTTTACTAAAAGGATACAGCCTGAACAAAATTATTAATATTGCAGAGAAGCTTAAAAATGTATTTAAGAAGAGAAGTGAAACCCTGTATCTGATCCCCCCATGTAACCTATGACAACTATCTTTAAATACATATTGATATTATTATGAAACATTACAGCGCTGAGCTATCAAAGCGTCAATGGAGATAGCTTCTAAAAATTTAAAAATTTACATATAATGACACTAGGACAATAAGAAAATAGAGAAATTTATAGAGAAATGTAAAAAGGGAAAAGCCTATGCGTGAATAAAATTTTGTTTTATCTATTTTCCTATCATGTAATTTCAATAATCTCAACTTAAAGATAAGAATAATGCTATGTAAAGTTATGTGTTTAGCACAAGTCTACGTGGCATAAATGATAAGTCCAATTAAATGTAGGGATATGGAACCCACTTAATTAGACCTATCATTTAATGTCACTACATTGCAATGTAGGCGGGTGCTAAGCATCAGTTCACAGCATCACTCGATAGATAATTCATAGAGCTAGTCAGCATATGCATGTACGTTGTTTGAAAGAAAACAGGGAAACAATTACATATACTTTTTCCCTTCAAGATATGATGTTGGAACGACTTCTTTGACAGCAGTGTAAACGAAAACATTGCAAACATTCCCATAACTGAAGAAAACATATTTCAGTCCAGTCATTACCTGCGGGAATGAGTTTCTAAGTATAGAACTTCTCCCTTCTTCAAACGTGAAGATGTAAAGAACGGCTTTTTTAGACCTTTGTCAGCAACAGCACTAATGCTGTATTTAAGCCTGGAAAACACCAGAAACCAAAGAGGGGTAAAGAATAAGGAACAAAAATAATGTACATAATAATAATGAGAATAGTAATAGTAATAATAATAACAGCAAAAAATCAACACTACTCTTACGGGGTAAAGGTAAATTATCAAGCATTATTTAACAGGAACCAACTAGTAACAATTTAGTCCAAAGCAACCCAACCCCACACTCGAGATAGAGTACTTTCTGTTAGGAGAGGTTACTTGGTGAAATTACGATGAACACATTGTAAACAGCAACTCGATAAATATACTTTGAAGAGAGATGTAAGAGATAACTTGAGGGCAGAGAGCACCCCAAAAGGAAATTTAAGTCCTTTAATCCCTGCTCTTGCAAGTAACATATATATATATATATATGACCAACATTACAAGAAACTTGCCCCAAGGCCCCTTTTCATATTGAAAAATAAAATAAAAACACTGCAAAGAACAGGAAATAAAGAAGCAGCATCAAGAAATGGCCTCTCTTACTTATTTGACAATAATTGGGAGGTTTGAAAGGTGAATAGCAGAACTGCAGCTTATAACTTGTCAGAATTTACACAATCTAAATAAAGTGTACAAAAAGTTTAGAAACATTAATCTGGGTATTATTTTAATATTATGGTCTATACTTCCAGAGAAACTTTTCCGTATATGGGTGTGTACAGCTACAGCAGATAATGTGTGCTCCTCTACCCAAAGTTGAATTTAAGTATACAACCCAAGAGTATTACTACATAACTAATAAGATTCTTACCCCACCTTCATCTGTTATACATTTAGGATAATAATGATTTGTTCACAATGATGATGTAACAGATGTAAATACGTATGATTTATGAAATAATTGTAAACCAAATAACAAAGATATAGGTCATTCTTTACAAAATGAAGAATCCATGTTCATGTAGAAGGGAAGCTAATAAAAATTACTGCATCATACTTCAAAACAATAATGATTAAATATGCATTTAGTATCCAGTCATTGCAAATTTTTCTCAGTACATTAGGATATGAATCCAATTAAGTGATTGGTCTACATCCAGAAAAACAGAACTCATTTGCCATTTAAACAAGCATCTGAACAGAGACAAAAAAGAACAATCATAATTAGGATAAAGAAGCTATGTTGAATTGCCTTTACATGAAATACTAGAAAAAGCAAATTAGTTTACATTATTTATTTGCTAATAATGCACAGAACGTTGCATTGTAACACAAAGATGAATCATGCTAATTTTGGGTATAATACTGGAGGTCATAAACTTTGCCACGTGTGTGATGATGTGCACACGTGTCATTACGTGTCAAAAGCATTGTTACTAACTAGACCAGCACATCACTACATAGTGACCCAAATGTAAGAAATGTTCAAGAAGTGTAACCCAATAGTAACAAAATTAGTCTGATGACCAGATTGAAGTCTTTCTAATAGTTTTGATAACCTCCAATGTTCTTTACCCTCCTAATTGAACATAATTACTAATTGCAACGAACAAACAGTAGAAACATATTCAACGAAGACGCTTTCATTTGTTAGGAAAACAAGAGTTCCGACAAATAACCATAGTAAACTTTGGATTAAATTACAAATTAGGACAAACGTATATTTAGCAGGTAACAAAGCTAGTCCAAAAAAAGTACAAGACATACCAAGGTTCCATGCAAAGGTTGAACTGTATAGTGACTTCACGTACAAACCTTTGCTGACGCAAGGCATTCTACAGAGAGAGAGAAAATATAAGATGAAACGTCCCTAATCATTCCAACACTGAATAATGAACAACACAAACTAAAGCAAAAATATCAATCGTATCTGACATTTGTACTTGTTAATATGGCTCCCTATGTCTACCCTTGAGCCATATTATTGAAAAAGTGAACCAAGTTGGGGAAGATGGAGAATGAACACAAAAACTTTCACATTTCAACAGCTGCTTGGCTAATATGAAAAGCAAAATGACCTTAAAATTTTGTTCAGTAAAAATTGAAAATATATTCCAAAGCAAAATTGAAACGTAGCATACAAATTTCCTTTCCCAAAAAAGTCCCACCCTGGTAGGAAAAACACATGAAAAGAATATGAAAATCTAAACATCTATATCACCAGAAACATTGCCTTGGAAGTTTTGAAAGGACTTAGAGTAATGGGCTTCTGGTTTCAATAATGGACAACAGTATCACTATATAATAGAGAAGATACAAGTTGCTACAGAGTTGGAAAATTAGTTTAGGAAAAATCGCAGGAAATGTGATTAGCAAATATACTTGGCCACTGTTTGGTTAAGCTAAAATATTTTATTAAAATCTAAGTCAAAGACAACAATTAATTTTGACCACACATTTCATGGGACCCAAAACTTTTCAACCACACGTTCCACCAACTTTTATCAAAATCAACTAAAAATCTGATTTTTATCTAAACCAAATAGGGGCTTGAGATCCTACATCTAATCGGAGAATAATTTAAGTTACTGCAATGAACCTGGGAAGGATATAGAGTTGAGACAAATTTTAGGAGCGTGTGATTTAGCAACAGACACATAAGCCCAAGTATCAACAACTTAAAATCCTCTATCAGTATAACTCAAAAGTTTTGTATCTGATTATAAACCTAATATAAAATAGTAGAGTATAGAAATTTATGGATGATTTAGAGGGAGTTTGCATCTATGTGCTGGTACGTAAGTGTGTACGCATGCACAAGAACTAAATTTCAGCATCAGTAATGAAAATACCGAAGCTGCAGCCCTTGTAGTCATTGTGCGTTCCACAGCCACCGGAGCAAGAGTAGGCTCCAAAGTAGAAGAATGCGTGAGACAAGGTTTAAGATCTATGATTCCACCTCCTTTCTGTACAAGTAAAGATAAAAAGACTCCATATTAAAAAGAGATCCGCCGATAATCAATCCACATGTAAAAGGGTAAATAAAGACAACAAAGCATGCAGAAAATAATACTTAATGGTAAAGCACAAGTCAGCAATCATGAAGTAGATCAAATCATCCTCTATCTATAGATATGAAAGTACAGATGAATTCCAACTGACAACATTTCATATAACAGATAAACAGAAAAAGGGGGAAAAACAAAAAGTAAATTGAAAATATTCCTCACCTTCACAATGCAACATCGCTCAACACGATAACTGCAACCAATGGCAGCTCCCCATGCACGTGAGCGGACATTATTTCTCAGTGTAGAAACATAACCTTAAGAATACACAATAAAAATATAAATTAAAACAAGAAGCAAAGAATAACAATGTGCATCAAAATATAATATATATCAAAATTATGCAATGGTGTCCTACATATGACATTTTTCCCTAGAATACAAATAATAGGATGAAATGCATTTAGTTAAAAGTGGTATGAATGTACTTTATAAGCACAATAACAGGCACCACAAAGGGGGAAAGACATATATACCCATGTAAAATAACAGTTGATTCACCGCCCATTACTTGATATAGTTTAGATGTAGAGGTTTTATGATGAGATAAATTAGCATTTATATCTATATATACAGACACAGATACCATGAAAAGTTAAAAAAGCCCTCAAAACTAATCTAAGTCTAGAACCCAAATTAAATCCACAGACATGGCTCTGCAGCTTTCAAATATCAACTTTAGAATAAACTAATCTATCCAGAGAATCAAACAGAAGAAGAAATATGGCCGCAAAGGATCATTTAAAACATATAGATAGTTTTGGTTTTGCATCAAGGATAGCATACTAGTTATTTGATCTAAACCATGTGTGTATGCCATCAATCTCTCGTTCTTTTTTTTCTTTTTAATTAACTACCATTTACCAGGGCAGAGGAAATGGGAAGTAATGCATGAAATCTACCAGTACAATCTTGAAACCTATTGCAGAACATCTGTTTCTTAAAGTATGAAGCATTTCTTTAAAGAATGAATATCATGTGGACATACAATCTTGTGGAGGTAACACTCTGATGGTAGCACGCAGCTCCTGAGCTGCAGATGGAGGAGGAGAAGCAGTTGGGCGACAGTAACCTGTATGCATAAGAACTGAACAGGGAACCATGTTACATTCCACCACTACTTTCGGGTCATGTATGCAATGAAAGTAATAATTTCGCCAAAAAATATACCAGCCACCAGATCAGAGTCAACAGTGTATATATCTGTTCCCCATAGTTGTCCACCCCTCACCTGTAAAGGAAGCACTCAAAGAACTCAACATGTTGGGTACAGCAAAATATGGAAATAAGCTGCAGATTCAGAAATAAAAGTACATGGAGATAAAGGGAGAGGGAGAGGGAGAGGGAGAGTGGGAGAGACCGAAGCAAGAAAAGAAGTTTAAGAGTTCTGACTATCTTCGTTTGTAAATATTAAATTCAGACACAAACCAAATTGGTAGTCCTCTACAACTATACCTTCAATGATAATTTAGTATGTATACCTCAACATGTACTTGACATGTGAACACCTAACAAATTACATAGATCCCTCAAATAGTATATATAGATTCTTCTGTTGCAATATACATATGAAGGGAACCAACTGGCTATGCCCCTTTCGTCCTCTTACAGGACATCCAGATAAATATTAGGACTAAGTCATATTCAAACTACAGAGACAGTATTGAAAAAACTTATAGAATATGTGTGCATTCACAGAACTAAATGGGCAGCTTAGACTACCATCGCATACAACATACTTCTATAATTAAGCCAGTGACAACTTTACATTCTTCTAGAATCTTTGACCAAGCTCTGTAATAAATTTTGTATTTGTTTCATCAATATATGATATCCAGCAATAGAATACGTGTGCATTCACAGAACTAAATGGACAGCTTAGACTACCATTACATACAACATACTTCTTTAATTAAGCCAGTGACAACTTTACATTCTTCTAGAATCTTTGACCAAGCTCTGTAATAAATTTTGTAATTGTTTCATCAATATATGATATCCAGCAAATACTGGCCAACAATTTTGAAACTAACTTTTTTTTACTACAACGACAGAGTATTTGAAGGAGCAATTGTTCCACTATCTTCATCCTTTCGAAAATAGGTTACTCAATTCATAATCAGTTGATTCATGATTGAACTTCTTAACTATGTGACAATGCAATCAATTCACAAAATAATTATATACAAATATACACAACCTTTACGAGACCTAGTGTTTACAAAGAAATATTTTTGTTTGACCCTTAAAGAAGTAATCATTGTCACCCAAAATATGCAGAAGACATTAATTCGTGCAAGGGTGACAATTCAACTCGGCTCTTGAGATCCTATGATCCCATGATCCAGAAGCACGACTCAAAAATACAACAAGTGGATCACCAAAATAGCTGCAATATTTTTTTTGATAGGTACCAAAATAGCTGCAATATTAAACCAATGATCATCGATAATGTTGTCAAAACTGGACTAGACTGGCCAGTTCAAGCAGGAAAATTGGGAACAGGACCCAAATCCAGTCTGGTTATAGGGTAAAAAACTAATATATAAGAACAGGTACACAATCTGGTAAATCGGCCAGTTCACCTGGAAACCGGTGCATGGACACGGTTTTATTGGGTTCAACGGTTGTGAGTTTTTAGAAAAATAAAATAAAATAAGACGGTTGAATCTGCCATCCGCCATTTTCCCTCTAGGTCACTTCACATACTTCACCAAAACATGAAAAGCTTCATCTATTTGACTTCAGCAGATCAACTTTTTTGAATTTCTCATGGTTCACTTTAGTAGATCAAGTTAAAGACTGCAGAGATCAAAAGGCACAATAAAATATAGGTAGTTTTTGACATAGTACGCACATAATAATAACTATAGTCCAATAAGGGGGAAAAAAGAAGAAGAAATAAGAAAGAAGGGAGAAGAAATTAGAGAAAGGGGGAGAGAGAGTAGAAAGAAGGGAAGAGAGGGAGAAGAGAAAGAGATAGAGAAATGAGAGAGGAAGGAGAGAGAGAACTGGAAGAAATTAGAGAGAATATCTGTTTGTATTCAATTATCAGGGCTAATTAAATCAAAACATACCCTTCTTCAATTTAAGTAGTAAGTAAAATAAAATACAAAAGAATTCTTCAAAATAAAAATATAATTTCTTTTCCTAAAATAAGCATCCATTCTTGACAAGTCTTCAACAGATCATTTGTTAAATTTTACTTTAACATTAACAACATTCATCAAAAACTTATAATGCCATTACTTCAACTGCACGGAGCCACCTCCCCCCGTTGAATGTCCTTGTGCCCATTTCAGAACATTCACAAATCCATCCTCTTATGCCCATTTAATGGTATAGAATGAGGAAGACCAAAACTAGCATAAATGAAGTAGACGAAAAAGAACTCAATTATTTTTGGTTCATTGGAGTTTTCCAGATCAAGAGGAACTCAGAAAACAAATTTGTGTAGCAAAAAGATACTTCTAAAATTAAGAAGCTAGATGGGTGGGTAGCCAGAATCAAACCATGAAAAATCAATTATTCTGCCCAAGGAAAACTATCCAATTAAATAAATGCAAAGAAACTTTTTGAATTAGTTTCTCGAAACTGCATGCACAAGTGGGGGATAAATGCATTTACTACGTTCTTTTTGATAAATCATGTAATTTAGAGGGAAGGAATAGCTGGAAACTTAACTGAATGTAATAGCAAACGCAATAAATAATTTATGATCTTACTTGGCGATTTGTAGCAGTAACATGTTCAGCTGGTATCCGGATTTCTAGGGTAGGAGCAGTTTGAGAGATTTCACATGTTTTATCAGCTTGTGATGATTGAAATTCCTTCCACAACTTTAACAATTCTTGCATGCATCCACCAATTTTGTAAACGACACAAGACATATCAGCCTTACCTGTATAGCAACACCACAGCGTCTATAAAAA